TGATTCCAGTTCTCCAAACATCCAGCCTTTGTTTGATCCGATCACCTCTAGTGATATGCACAAATACGTGTTCTCTCAAGGTGTTGACCGTACGTCGTCCACACAACTTGAGTCTTATCCTTGTTAAACGCGGTGCTGTGCCACTGTGTCACATGTTTACGCACAGTCAATCTTTCACTCGAGCACCAAATTATTCAGGATTCCTGGTGCTTAGACAGAGTTACTCCCATCCCAAAAGGAACGTCAAAGGGCCCGAAAGTGAAGAGTTCCAGACCAATTGCTCTTACTTCCACTGGTGTGAATTTGATGTAGCGATCAGTTCTGCATCGCCTTCAGTTATCCCATACCACCCCCGATGATACTTATCAGTTTGCATACAAACATAACTGCTCTACGTTGCATGTCGTTTCTTCTCTATTTCGTTTCATTGGTATGCTCCTTAACGAGAAAGCCAAATATGTGCTCTATGTATTTCTTCATTATTCTTCCGTTCTTGACTTGGTGCCCCGTTCTCTTTTACTTAACAAGCTCCAATCGTTTGCTTGTTTCACTCGTTTTCTTCAATGGCTCGATGATTACTTTTCGCAAACATATCAATATGGTAAATTACGAAAAAGACAGTCAATCGCATCACTCAATAGTCCGAGGTGCTGTCCTATCACCCTATTTTTGGACCGATATTAATGACCTACCTATTATCCCCCTCCTGTGCGACATTTTAAGTATGCCGACGATATCGCCAAATCTGTTTTTGTATCTAATCATTCAGAACTGGTTGAATATAATACAAACCTATCCCACCTCACTTCATATTCCACTTTATCCGGTCTAATCTTAATCCCGAAAAATGCCTTGAATGTATTTTTACTCCAAATCGTTCCCCATTTCCATCCGAGCATGGTCAGCCATGCGAAGTACTTAGGTATCACACCTGAAAGTAACCTTTGCTAGTTCTTACATACCCAAACCGATTCTCGCAAGTTGAAATTTCTCTCTTTTCATATAAGAAGACTATGCCACTTCTGTTCTGATTTGTCGGCAATAGACGCTGACAAGGGAAGTGTTCGTTCTACACTTTCTAATGCACTTAGTAATTAACTCATATTTTTACACGTCTCTCGTCCCACTTTTTCACCTCTGTTTACCAGAACTGTAGCGGTAGTGTACTTTTTGGCTCAAAGCTTGTATATAACTCGCTCAAGCTTCAGTACAGTATAGTACAGCATACTAGGTCAATTTGTTTAACCAAGACATCCCAGTTGCAAAACCCGTGACTATAGATAGACGCACGAAAAGCACACATGCGCAAGAAAAGTCATAAATTTCTTTATCTTATTCCATGAACGTTTGACAATGTCCCCATTTTGTCTATAAATCTAGCAATCCCCACTGTTTTCGTGAACTTGAAGCAATAATTGGGGCTATTGAACGAATCATTCGAGAATTGACCGTTACTCAAATTTAATTAGTACCATCAAATTTGCGTTATCTTGCGACCTGTCTATGGGTGGTGGTACCGGATTTACGACCTAGGCCAGCTCGTCGAAGGACAAAGTTGTGTTCGCGTAGGCGAGTGCATGGTTGTTTGCCTGACTCACTTTCGTAGTATTGGCTGAAGCTTAGACACGGGACTGATGTAACATGCCTGGTTGCTCATGCTGTTCGATACGTTCTTTGCCGACGAAGCGGAACAATCTGAAGATTTCCATCGATTGTTGGGCAAAACTGGTTTGAATCAGCTGTAGTGCATTTTTGGCGGATTATAACTTTTCGCTTCTTTATAGCCGTCCTATTATCCCCTTCTCTTTTGTGTGTCGCTTGTTTTCTACCCCTAAATGAACATATTGACGAAACTCCTGGGTTGTGCGTTTGATGTGAATAGTTGTCGTACTCTTGGATTGCGGCATACTGTAATGTGTATTCGTCTGGCTGAACAGACTTGGACTACAACTTCTCACGTAGCACAGAGGTAGTTGCTGCTTTCATTTAGGATATAGTTTCTCGTGATCGACTTACAACAGACTAGTATCTACCGTTCCAACGGGTTGCCTCATAATGAAGATATCAATGTAACAAAGCTGACCTGCTTTCTATTTCCTTAGATTCCATGGAACTGGTCTACAATGAGAGTACCGAGTACTAAAAATGTGTTTCCCCCCATCTTGTTCCCGCATACTACGACTAACAACTTCGAAGGCTTTTAAACTGCTTCTGGACCCAAACCTGGGAGATTGGTGATCCCATGAAAGGTCCTCGCATGTGCTGTTGGTTCTTTTCATCGAATTGAAAGTTCTTTTTTAAATGAATTTCATCAGTCTAATGAGTTTGTCCACCGATTGCTTTGCTCTTGATAATTGGATTTTGTTGCTTTCTAGCAGGTGTCAACTACGTTCTAGGACCATTGCTTTCGGTAAATTGACGCACAGTGCGGTGACGTGGAGGGATACCATCAATTCGAACAGTTAAATCGTTAGAAAATTGCTTTTTTTACCTTTGCTTGCATAGCTCGAGATCACCTCAACAATGATTACCAGAACCGCGAATGGATCAAACCTTTGTTCTGTATATGTCCGGAGGCCAGTGCTGAGCAAAACGTTTTGATATTCACTTAGTTAAGTGTTTATTGTATTACATTTTATACATAAATACAAAACGAAGGATTTGGACTGATGAAATGACTGGTAGAGCAATAAAGGCTGTTTGGCAGTGAGAACATAGCTTACGGTTGCATGGAATGTTGCCAGTAAAAGAAACCAGTCCAAACACTTATTGCCTTGACCTGAATGCCAAATTGGTCATGTTTAAAGCAGAGCACTAACCATTTAATTCCCCCAACCACAAACTACACATGCACGTTCCTAACCCTGATCACCCACTACAATTTTATTCGTTCGATAAGTTCTTCTTTTTTTACCGTCGTTTTTCAGTTAAATCACACAATGAATGAATCATATTTCTTGATGTATCTTACGCAGCACTATCCCACTCTCTAGCGGTAGATGTTAATGCTCATCCACTTTTTAATCGCCCTACCCTATCGCACTACGGTTTCTTTATTTGACCTTTGCTGTTTTACACCTTCCGTGTTTCAAGCATTGATTATCGCTTTCCTGCTCACATTCGCTTGCTATGTTCGCTTGCCTCCAACATGATTCTAAACTAGGTTGTAATCAGTCAATCAGATATCTGTATGATTATCGTATTGTATACGTAACCATCTGATATGGTATATCTAATAGAGGTCTCTTAGCTAACGTCTCTTTTTGCCTTGTTCCGGGGAGTATTCATTGGCAGTAGATGCTTTCTGCTGAAGAATAACTGGGTAGCTTCGAGAAATCACATCATTTATTGAAATAGTAGGCCAGTAGTACCAATAGAAACAATTACTGATATATTTTTCCCTTCATGTCTTGCTTCTTTATCACTGCGAAAAACGCTTTTGTCCCATTGCTCCTTTCGTACACTCACAGCATAAACCTGAGTGTATCGAATTATATTCAAAGTTACACCCAGATAGCAGAGATCATTGATTGTGAAACCAGTTCGTGATTACATAAAAATTACTTTATGAACAATATGACATGACGAATCCATGCGGCTACACTTGCAGTGGAAGATTCTAGATAGTTCCGCTTATGACATAACCCAGTGTGTCCTAATGGGTTTCTTTCCGATAGGGTGACGCCCCACGGAGGTATGCACACGGTATGATCACCGGGACTACCCTGGTTCGAGTTAGTTCTGAGTAGCCCAAGATCACATTTCTCTCCCTAGTCTGCTTACGAGGAAGCTGTATAAGTGAACCCTTCAAATCCACCGCAGGGGTCCAAAACATGCTAACATTCAGTTAAATCAGTGGTGAAAAGCTTAAACAATAACTACCGTAAAGCACGTGCAGGCCACAGACAATCTCTGGTTGTCTGAGAGCAGAACACTGGTAAATCTGAGCGTTTCGTTCACAATGCTAGTCATATTGGGGAAGAAGTATTCAAGAAAGACAAAATGATGGATCGATCACAGCAGCATCACAAAAGAAGGGATTACCTTTTAACCAATCACCGTCCGCTGCTCACAGTTTAAAAATGGCCCGATAGGCTACAATACCAAGTGACTTGAATTATCAGAGCGTCGAAATGATTCGTAACGCGCAATCGAGAGTAAGTAAAATAACTATCCCTAATGTTCAGTTAATTATGACATTACGCAAAACATATCCACTAACTGAAAATGTTTTAGTTCTGGGCAGCCTTGAGCTGATAAACCAGTCATGTGTCTGTACAGAGAATGAAACGTATGTGAAACAAAATATGAAAAAGAACCGTATTCAAAGCGAGAAAGGTTTCGGTATAGAGCTTCTATTGGTACTGCCTAAAAGAATAAGCCACCTTAAGATAGCGGTCATAGAAAATAGCTTGTAGACTGCAGTCCATTGCAATAAGTTCGTAATCCAACTGTAATTCCTCCTGTCCACATACAGCATGAGTTAGACTCAATGGTCAAGCGAATGGATCACAAGCTACTTGTGATCTACTTCTACACCCGTTACTGTTCGCAATGTCGGGAAATCGAGGCCAAATTCGAGAGCATGGCACGTCAATATCCGGAGGCTATTTTTATCCGAATTGATGCTCAAGAACACCCCGTAAGTGACTTGCTTATCAAATATCATTTAAATGAACATGGATTCGCACTGCTGATGAGACCCAACCAGGTCGAAACAGCTGTCCAGTGCTTCCGAGCTTTTCAGTTCACGCTTCATTTGCTATATACACGACGAATTGTCATTTGGAACATTTTTTTATTTCTGAACCCGTTTGATTTTGTTCCGTTTTTTTCGCGGAGTATCGAAATTCTGTCGTTTTTTCCACGCGTTCCACTATCGACACAGACTTCAATTGACTCCAGTTGGCCGTCGAATACTTCTAGTGGCTTTTGTGTTTACATCTGTACTTTAGCCTATCCAATAAGAGTTTTATAACTATATAACTTTTCTTTTTCAGGATGCAGCTCAGGCGTACGGTGTGACATCAACCCCGGCATTCGTATTCATGAAAGACAGTCTTAAACTGGATAGCTTTTGCGGAGCAAACGAATCTCGATTGAGGGATACCATTCTGCGACACCGACGACCTTCTCTGTGTGTCTCCCGTTAGTCAATACTCAAATCAACTCATATCATCAATCTGATATTATACGCTCATGTTTACGAATAGATATTCATTCAATAGATGAATAAACTAAATCACTGATATTGCCATATTGTTTTGCCTTCCAGTATCTGGGTATTGGCAGAAAGGGGCTATCCACTACTCATTGTATCATCACAAAGAAAGCAAATGCTGGCGATTGAGGTATGATTAATAATGATGATAATCGAATGCATTCGTGATAGTTCAAATCATCCTGTTGCCAATGGGCGTCTGCAGTAACACTCGATTCTCTGATCAACATTATTTGGGTCTGAATTATATCACGTATTCAACAAATGAGCAATTCCATACAAAGTTCCAGCAATGGTGAACAGCACAATAGTCCATTATACTGGACTAGGCATTTAACATAGTGTGATCTATTTTATTTGCATTCTGATTGCATTTGTTGGATGAACATCTTGTCCTAAGTCCGTTCACAATCACTCCAATCAATAATGGCAGTAAATGTTTTCAGAATGTGTCCAAATGACTATTGCCTGGAAGTCTGACGTGCGAATACAAGTATTGTTGCCATCGAAAATGGACTGAACCGTCCAGTTTTGTGGAGTTACCATAACTGAAGCCAATTCCCGGTGCAACAGTTTACATAATTCTAAATACTGCACTCTCCGTCAATAAAACTATTCGAGGATTAGGTGAATTTGTAGCTTTAGGGCTGCGGTGTTTCAATGTGTTATGGTATATTACCCCGAACATTAGGATGCCTATGTTTTATGGCTATTGCCATAACTTGAGAAATCCGTTCTTGGATAAACCGTGAAATCCTTATTCATAAAACTAATAATAATAATAATAATAATTGGCACCATAATCAGAAAATAGCTCATATCTGTCTTAATGGTTTGGTACTGATTCTAAGAAAGCGGAATCTTCATTTTATTGGTTATTGGAGCACATGACAAACATTAGGTATGATGGCATAACTACTCACGGGTCCCTGTACTGGTGATCCTAACCGTTCGACCACTCCCGTCCGTATTGTAAGACTCACACTGGGATATGATTGCGATGACAAAATTATCAAAAATACCCAGCCCTTTGCTCTCCCATATCTGTTATAAAAAGTAACACTATGCTATCCCAAGGATTCACGAACCAGAAGCTCCGAATGAAATGGTTTTATATTGAAATCCATCTATAATCCATCGGTAACGCGTGATTTTAAATTTCTCCTACCTGACCCAAATAGTCCACGTGTATCCGAATGTACAACTATTCGGATCTGAGTGAACCAGGTTCTCTCGTGGTACTGGTGACAGTAATTGAACGGTGAGTAATATACATTGTGCGCCCCGAGGAGACAGTACATGCCGTTGATAATAATCTCATCTGCCCGCTTCTGGTTCCCGGGGTGCATTGCTGCATTACGATGACGGCCCTGATAAGCCAAAATAAGTCCCGCTGCAGAGAAATCATTTTCATTGCACGCATTAGTAACAATCACTGTTTAATAAGGATGTGCATGTGCCACGTAAAGCTACCGGAGTTGAAGGACTCGCCGATAATAATTTCTCATTCTGCTTATACCGGGTTTACGGTGTTTTCTGATACACAATAATACGCTTTTTGAATATTTTTTTCATTTTTACTTTATTTTAGTGAATCTCAATGATGTCCCGATGTTATCAGCCGACGAACTAGATCAAATACTAACTACTGATGGACGATGATTGATCGAGTTGTGGGTGAGGTGAGGTTGATCCGACAGCACGTGGATGCTGATTCCGCATGGAATAGGCAAGGAATTCCACCCGAATCTAATATAGTTGCAATACAAACAGTGAAATTTTCAGTTCCCTTTAGGAGATACTTTGGTAAAACGCGATTGGTTCGTTTCACAGAATGGATTTAAAATGACCCAGGAGTAACTGTACAAATGCAAAAAGAAGCTTGAGAAAAAAATTCATTTTACAGCATTCTGAGCAACCACTTGCTGTTTCAGAAGCTCGAGCTATATGAATGAATATCAGCCATAATTGTGATCATTATCACAAAAAGTTGTGAATAAAAATAATGGTGTCTTCGTCAGCGTTTAGGCTATTTCTAACACCGTGAGTGACTGAGAGGCTATTCAAGACCTTAATTCCCATCCATCCACAAGGGAGTTCCTTCTTGGTCAATGTTTTTCTAAAGCAAACATACTGGCTCTACTCTTTCACTTCTATTGACCACGAGTAGATTTACAGTCACGGAACGTTCAACTCATATGTGAAAATACACAATGTGACCGACGTTTGTCGCATTCTTGTATGGCAAACCATTCGTTGCATTGTGATATCATGTCATCTTCACTGCTATTCCCTTCTCAAGGGTAAAATCAAAGGTTTATTATGAAAATTACTTATAAGATCATGCTTCTTTTGTCCTCATTGGATATTTACACAATTGAATCGTTTCCCAGCGAAAGAATGGTCACATACAGTAGGGGATTATAGAGAATGTAGGCTTTAATGAATCTGTGTTTGCTTTAATGGTGTGGGAATGTGAGGTGTACCAAGGCTTCATCAAGTTTCCGCCTGAAATATTCAATATTTGGTGCACAAACGACGTGAGATGGAAGGGTGTTCCAAGTACTGCATACTCTGACAGCAAAAGATTGATGTCGGCATTTCACTAGTCATTTTGGAATCAGTAACTTCAAACGGTGTCCCCTATGGTGTACATTGTTCGATAAAATGAGCAGCTGCCAACATGGATGGTTTGGGTTCTGCAGTATTTGATACGCCAAAATTAATTCTCCACGAATTCGGCAGTACTGAGCAGAATATAGTCCCAATGATCGTAATCCCTCTTCATAGGTAAGGTAGTGCAATCTATTGACTATCTTGGTGGCCATCCTTTGTGGGCGCTCAAGAATTTTGCGCTCACGTTGCCACCATGGACTCGAAGCTTCTTTAGTGTGCTCTGTGTACGGTCAAATGTTCACTGATAGCAAATGTGGAAAACGTGCTGATTCAAAGCGACCAAAGACTCCACTAAGTAAGCCGACATTCTTCGCTGTGGCGGACGAAGCCTTAGCGCAATTTATCGAGCAACCTAAATCCTCTTGAACAACATTACTCAATTCCTTTCCACTTGAAGAATGTGGTAGCTGCTGATTTCCGAAAAAACATGAGAATCTTCTCTCGTGGCGTGTGGATAGGACTTTGCATTTAGAAACATTGAATGCAACTTCGACCTTCTGAGACTATTGATAAGCTGCGTTAAGTGGTTCTTAAAGTATTCGAGAGTCCTTAGATTCTGTTACTGGTTTTGGCGTTGTTTGCAAACAGTATTGCTTTTGGACCTAACACTTTCGGTAGACCATTTATGAATGCTAGAAACATACGGAAACCGAGTAAAGACCCTTGTGGAACATCGAGGGTGGCATTGATAGATCCGGGAATGGAATCAGAAACACGAACTGATATGGTCCGTTGTTGGACGAATGTTCCAATCCAATCAAACAGAAAATCTCGAATACTACAATTGTAGAGCTTCTGTAACAAAATTCGATGATTCACCCGATCAAGTGCTTTCGAGAGGTTAAGAAAAATCACATGCACCGCATTCTCTTCATAGGCTGTTCTGATTCACTCATCTAGAACAAGATGTAGGTTGGTGGAGCAAGATTGCTTTTGCCTGAACCCATGTTGAGCTGTCGAAAGAATCCTGTTTCTTTCGAGTTGTTCCATCAGAGAATGTGACACAATTGACTCCATGACTTTCGATGACACCGAAAGCAGGGTTACAGGTCAGTAATTAGCGGAGTCACTACGACAACCATCTTTGTATATAGGCAAAATTACTCCTTGTTTCCACGATTCTGCGAGTGTTACTTGGTCGAACATTTGCTGGAACCGACTGGCTGGCGGTTCGGATATGTGATTCGTCAAAAATATCAGGGATTTCGGGTTTATATTTTCCGCACCTGTGATTGAATTTTTCTCAGAGCCATTAATTTTGCCTTGACATTTTCAGCAGTAAATGAAACGTAGGTCAGTGAAGGATATAGAGGATAATGCAACCGGGGAGGTAGCGTAGCCCTGCAACCTGTGGTGCTCGGGAAACGTTGGAACACTGAGTTTTCAGCATTTCAGCTGATTCTGTTGGAGTGGTTGCAAATCTTCCAGCGCTGCTTAGTGCCGTTATGCCAAACATTACTTTCAGAATTGAACGAACGTGCTTTTGCGACTGCTTAGGGTTAGAAATGAATCTCTGTGCTAACGTCTCTTGGTATTTCAGTTTATCCTCACGAATCAGCATACGATAACCATTCCACGTGGCAAAATTTGGAACACGTTTATAATCTCACCAGGATGAATCCCGCATAGATAGCCATTTCCTTTTTCGGCCTCAGATAGGTGAATTTTGGGTGCTGGATATGGTGGTTGCTCTAGTCCTAATCACCGATGTCATTAGGTTTGTAAGACTCAATGAATTTCTACCAGGTTGATTGTTATAATCCTATACCTAGCTGATTGCACAACAAAACACCAAGCAGATGAGTTTGGATTGTGCTGAATGTAACCGGACCGATCAAAACTACCGGCTATTTTATCCCCGTCCAAAACGTTCGTCGTTGTCAGCACCGCTGAATGAATGTCACACCTTGGCTGATTTGGTTTCTGGGACCAGATCACAATCATCGAATTTCATCACGTGAGCTCAGCCGAAACCAAATGGTTCCGATCGATAGGGTATCAGTACACAGCTACAAGAAGGGAAGCTCGTGGAAGACCATTCATAGGTGAGGAAGTGTATGCTGAATAGCAGATGAGAAAGGTGTTTTTCAAAACTCTTTCATTCGAACTTATAAGACGTACAATTTAATGATAATCAACCTTGTGGACTTCAATCCTTCTGAGGCGTACCCTCTGATCAATCGCTAAATAAGGGGCATGCTGAACTTCACAATGAGGGTAAAAGCTTTATCCTGTTGCGTGTTTAAACATACCTACCTCATTTCCCCATGAAACCCCCTTACTAAAATGCTGGTTACCAAATTATAAAATTTTTATCAGAGAAAAACTTAAAGTCACATCGTAGTTGAATAACTTTTAAAAGAAGTGGGAAAGGATCCCATGGAATACGTGATGACGAGAGCCATCCTACTCTGATAGAATTACTTGCGAACTCCTAGTCCAAGTGGTTCTGAGACTCCGATAGAACTCTGTAACCTCCTTTCCGCTTATTCCTTTTCGTATATGATAACCAAAGATGCCCTTTCAGATGTTTTTCTTTGGAAGGACCAATGAGGTCGGACAAATTGAGATGAATAAAATCGGAAACACCAAATTAGTCTCCAGAAGCACCACGAGATTCGAAACCAAATACATGCACATATGCCATTTATACTCAGGGGCACTGGATGAGAACCAAAATTTTTATCATTTAGGAGAAAGTAGTGTGCTTATTGATCGTCCTTCTGAGTGTGGTCTAACTCCTGAAGTCTTGAATATACTGATCAACTACTTCTCCCGTAGGACTCAGTTTGCTTCACTCAATGGTGTACAATCTTCTTCTATTAACATTGAGGCCGGTGTTTTTCAGGGTTCCATTTTGTCCCCTTGTTTTCCATGTGTATACAAAATTTGCCCATCCCCACCAACTATATTGCTTGTGAGTATGCTGATGATATTGTGATTGGTTGCCCAGCCCCTATTTCAGACAGTTTTCGACCTGTTCAGGACAGTCTAAGTGAAATTCACGATTGGTCTGTGATCCGATCCCTTAAACTTAACGTCAGTAAGTGCATCGAAGTTCCATTTAGTCTTAAAAACGGTCCCCGTTATTTTTCATTAGTTGATAATCTCCCTGATCTTAGAATTAACACTCAAAGCATTCCCAAATCTGCATCTGTTAAACACCTTGGTGTCACCCTTACCCATAACCTGTCCTGGTCTGCTCATGTCATCAACGTTTTCACTCAAGTTCGAAAACTGTCCTTCTATGCTTACAGGCTCACAAAACTGGCCGTACCGCATAATCTTATTATTAAATTTGTGATTGCCTGCATTCTTCCATACTGGCTATACTGCTCCCCGATTTTTAACCCCAGACTAAAAGAAAAAGACTTCTTTTTATTTTCAAGATCCCTTTAACTTTTTTCCCGCTACAGTGGAGTTGATAAAACTGTTTTAGTTGATTTCTTTATTTCCAAGCATCTTGACGCTTGTGATACATTCATTGACAGGATAACGCAGGATCAAGGGCANTCTGCACCAAGATATCGCGAAAGCCCTGTCGATTCCCCGAACACGCTCCAAATATCAACTCCTTCCTGCGCGGATTTCCACATATCGAAACAGTGTAATTCCTTACCTAGCTCGTTTACTAGGGAATCGTCAGCATATCCTCACCCACCTCAGGGAAAAACTATTGTCCTAATTTTTCTCTCATTTATCAAAGTGCAGAATTTCTCATACTGTATTTTTTTGTTTACAATTATTTTATCTATCCACTGTGAAACTCGTAAGCTGCTGAAAATTCACCTTTTGGGTGCATAAAGCATTTCTTGACTTGACTGGACTTGACTAGAAGATGAAATGCTTATCAAGTTACATGCAAACATAAGATTTAACATTGGTAATCAGGTGCCCCGGTCACTTGTGCCAC